AACTTCTCGATCGGAGGTCATCAACTCGAGCTAGTGAACGAACTACGGGATCTAGATGAATGCATGACGCCCAACGTCAAACCGCCAACCCACTGTGCTAAAACCGCAAAGAAGGCTATGACATCCTCGGAGCGATCAGAAGGTCCTTCCTCTATTTTGATGAACAGCTTTTTGGGCAAGTCTTCGGAACATTTGTTCGGCCGATGTTAGAGTATTGCGTCTAGGCGTGGTGACCCTGGATGAAGAAAGATTACGCAGTGCATGAGAAAGTCCAAAGAAAGGCGACCAAGCTAGTCAGCAGCTTAGGACGTCTCCCATATGAAGGTCGTCTAGATAGGCTCAATCTATTTCCTTTCTATTATGGGCAATACAGAGGAGATATGATCATGATGTTTAAACTGTGCTTGACTACTTGATCGGAGGTCACCAACTCCGGCAAGTGAACGAACTACGGGATCTAGATGCATGTATTTGGAATTCCGAATTTATATTTGTTAGCGCCAAAAAAGGAACTACCGATAAAAAAATTAGTTTCGTAAAAAAATTCAAAAACTAATTCGACAGTGTGCGCAGATAAACGTAAAAAATGTAAATCTGCCAGCAGAAATTGTCCTTTAAGAGCAATATTTGGGGATGTTTTGGAGTTAATGGTGAACTTAAAAAATCTTACAGTGAAAATGGACGCAGAGTTCAACGGACCTCCATTTTCGAAAAGCGTGTAAGAGATAAAAAAACTGCTTAGAAAGAAAAGACAAAGTATTATAGTAGAAATAAGAGTAGGAATTCTGGTGATGGTTAGTAGCCAACGAAACGGCAGCAGCTTAGACTGACTACTTCCACATGGCTTCGTTTGATTGAACGGTGGTTAATGGAGGCATATAGATTCCTGGGGGACACGAGGCAGATAAAATATTTTCAAGAGGATCTCCTAAATTCCCAATGGTCCTTTCCCGGAGTCATGGAGAAAGCTGCTGGGAAAAGATGAGGAGAATACAAAGTTAATATAATCAGTGTTAAGAATAATGTGCAGTCTTCGCTTGAAAGCAGAGAGTCTGGTTAACGACCTAATTTCAGTTGGCAGGTTATTCCAAAGAAAGCTATATATGGAAGCAAAAAACAAAGAGCGTTTAGAT